AAACCTTCTTTATAAAAGAAACAACATCTAGGCAAGATAACATTCTACTTTCAATTCTTATTCGTAGCTTCATTGTAGTAGTGGCGCTCAGGAGATGGAGAACCAACAACCAGTGGATTCAACTCAAGAGCCTTCATTTGCTGACCTACTGGACGAGACATTACGATTGTCACAACCTTCAAGATGACGCAATCGAGATGAAGATCTTCAAGAACGACATGTTCTTCCTCGAATAGATGGTGAGATACAATGCGATTGGTATCACGATTTGTGAAGGGACTCCCGATGTTTGGTGATTTTGCTAGAGGTAGGAACAACTCCTGATGGTATTCCAAATATTCTATTCGAAGGAAGTTACAAAGGCCTCAACAATGATCAAATAACTGGGTGGTCTTCCCGCCCTGGTATGGGACACTACCGATGGTTGAGAGGCCCTATCAATCATCTTCGAAGAGAACAGAGATCAGAGTATGTGGTGAATACAATTCGTCGCATCATAGATTTCCTCAACATATGATGACCGCTCCTCGTGGAAATCGTCCCTAGAAGGGGGGGTAATGTCACGGCCACAATCATGTAAGCTAATAATTACATATAGAAATAGATAGAAGTAAGTAAAAGTATGTAAAAGTAAGTTAATTCTATAATATTTAATATAAAAGCTTCCTAGAAACTTCCTAGACGTTGCTTTGACTTCATAGGTGTCTTTAATTGACTTTTTGGATTAGAAACGTGGTCAACAAGTTGGCCATGTGCCACACATGTTGTTAGCTTGAAGATCAAGCTAACTATGTGGCCCACACGTAGAAAAACTTGCCTTGTAAGTCGAGGCATGTGCCCTACAAAGTCAACACATATTGGAGGTCCTATAGAACGCCACCACGTAGCTCTTAGTTAGATAGTATATATAGAGATAAGAGTGAAGGCTTCTTCACTCTTGTCAACTCTTTTCTTGCTTCTAGTCTAGTTTCAAAGGTCTCTAGTTTTCTTGTCTTTTGGCAATAGCCATTCCAGTTCCTCTTTCAATATATATACTTATTTATATATATTTTGTTACCTTTCTTTGAGTGAAGGCTCACTTGTCTGAATTATTTTTTTCATCGAGTTCTTGTCCTTGACACTATATGCCCACTTTAATAGGTTGGTGCTATTTTAACTAGAATTATTGATCAATGAGAAATTTGTTGAAGGATGTGTTTTCAAAATAATATGTCTAAGAATTATAGTACCACTGAATGATTTGTATTTTGCTAAAAAATATTATTGTAAGATTTCATTATTATTATCATCATTATTAATATTTTTAAGCATGTATCTATTTTTAATTCTAAAATATAAATATTTGCCAATCTTTTATTAAAAATAATCAACTCATAGTTGTTGAGAAAATGTACCAATAAGTTTATATATATCTTAGATAACATTTAATACAACTACTTAATTCATGGTCTATTATCCTTATCTTCAATAGAGAATTTTAAATTTCAACTAGAAATGGTACAAGCAACAAGTCAATGTGCAAGATTTTTAAAATTATTTTCTGTTGTTTTCTTCTTTTTTTTTTAAAAATATATTACTTACTATTAAGTAGTGTAATTATTAACTTTATAATTTGAATAATTTTTCTTATATGTATTTTATTAAAAAATTGAATTAAAGTGTTTTTAAAAAATAAAAAATATATTATGTTTTTGATACATGTGTGTGTATATATATATATATATATATATATTACCTCTAAGAGTTTTTACAACATTAAATAAGTAAGAAATAATGTAGATAGATATCAAAGTTTTGAGGTATCTTAATAGAAACATTAATAATACTCCATAAATTGTAATTATATGTGTTTGGAATGCTTAACACACTCCTTTATTGGATAAAATGATACATATTTATTAGTCACCAAAACATCAAGTGGTTAGAAAAAGTTATTAAATATGATATTTAAAAATAAAAATAAAAAATCAAATATGTAGTTGGAAAAATTCACTTATAGCTTATTAGATTAAATCAAGTAGGAATTTAACAACATGTAATTAATAGTAATAATAATTGTAATGAGTTATTTTTATTATTTTTAAAAATATTAAAAGATTTATAGTTATATATATATATATATATATATATACATAAAAACATTCATACATATGTATATATATATATATATATATATATTCCTATGAATACAAGTTTATTTTTTCAAAAAATTGATGTATTTCATATTAATAAAAAAGAATGTATATCAAATTACTTAGAATATTGATGGAAAATGTGGTTCTTGCTGATTTTGTGGATAAATATAGAAATATCTCAAGTATCATTGGATTATGTGGTTTGTCTTTGGATTCATTAGTAGTTGTTGTTTCATTGTAGCAAGGAAATGAAATGGACAAACTTAAAAGTTTCTAAGAGTTTTTAGTAATTGCATACTTTATTACACAATGATTGTTCTGAAATTAGTCATAGAATAATTTAAGATTGGTTATGTACTTGGCAAAAGTAGTGAATAATAATTGAGATTAAACCATAATATGAACTAGGGTGATTTAAGTTTTAAAAAAATATGTAGAAATCTACAATTGAAATAAAATAATCTAACTAGTAGCATTAAAAAGTAAAGTTCTTAAGGATAAAAAATACAACATATTATATATACATAAAAGTTGATTGTACATTAGTATTATACTTAAATTATACATAAAAAATATTAGATATATCAATGGTAAAGTTCAAAAAATATCAATTCATTTAATATATATATATATATATATAGGAGGTTGTTAAAGCCACATCTCACATTACCAACTCATGATCAATTCCATCTATTTCCATCTCCATCCCTTGTTCTATGTCTCTAATTCTACATTTCCAACCCTTGTGCCTCATTCCCTATCCCCGCCTCTTATCTCCCAAAATTAATCATCACATGGTTTGAGAGAAGTAGGTTTAACAACTCTTTTTTTACATTAGTAGAAACTAGTGCTATTAGGCACTATAATCTTTGGCACATCCAATTATTTCCTTGTTCATCCATGCTTTCTTGTTCCCATGTTCATATATTCCCTTATTTCTATATTTCCTAAGTTTTTCAAGTTTCTCATGTTTTCTTCTTCACAAGTAATCATAATTCTTTTTGTCTCTTCGTATTATATCTAAGTTGTCTTAGAAAGAGAGAGAGAGAGTGAAAAATACATATAATTAAAAAATCAATTATTTTAAATCATAGCTATTAAAAATACTACTTTAAATATATATATATTTTTAATATTATTGTTAAAAATTATAGATATAATTTATAAAATATGCTTGTATTTTTTAATAATAAAATCATAAAATAAAAAATTAAATAGAAAAGTATTGTAACATCTTGAATTTAGATTAAAATCTAAATAATATATTGACAAAATAAAAGATTTTTTTAGTCTTGTCTCTAATTATAATAATTATTTTTAAAATATTTCAACGCCCATAAAGCTTGTAGCACAAGTATCTAAGGTTTTAAAACTTTACTTTCAAATTCTTGAATATAGAATGAATTTCTAAAAGATGTTTGTATAGTACATCTATGTACATTGATTCTTTTAATCTCCACCTAAAAACTTTTGTTGATACTTCACAAGAGTATTATCACCAATTCAAACTATTTGTATAATCTTCTATTTATTTTTACTTATTTTTTTTTTATTAAAATAAATGTAATTTCTTATTAAAAAAAATTATACATTTTGTATGTGATATGATTTAAGGACTTTTAAGATGTATTGAAAGAAATCTTGTATATACATAAATCTTCTATTTTTCAAATGATCTTGAAAAATGTATATACTTTCTATTTGATTTTATTTATAGTCTATTTATAGAATTAACAGAAAATAATATTGAAGCATGTTAGTATATATCTACACAAGAATAGAAACTATTCGGTTTCAAATATCTTTTATTAGTGTATTAATAATTGTTAACTTTGGCTGATATTCAAAATATAATTGAAGAATAGAAACATATTTAATATGTACAATTGAAACATAAATATTGTTCATTCAATATTAAACCTTTGTTATCACAATAACAAAACATGTTCCTAATTTTTTTTAATAAAATGCAAATTTTTTTGTATAATATTCATTTATTTATTTATTTATAATTATGAATTTTGGTTTGAGATTACTGCTAAATTAGAATTCAGAATAAATTTCAATAAATTCGCAAATGTGTAATACGTATTCAAAATTGGTTTTGCATTTTAGCTTTACTTCCCTAACAAGAATACATTTCGTAATTGAATTTGGCTAAATTATTTCAAATTTATTACTTTTCATTAATCAAGAATTAATTTACTTTCTAAAAGGTTCATCCAATCTCATAGTTTAAGAACAGACTAAAAAATGTAGCCAATTAGCGTTTTTCTAAAGCACACACCAATTGATTTAAAGAACAGATGGTAGATACACAATAAAAAATTAAATACTCTTCAGTTTATACACATAAAAAATAATAAAAATAAAAAATCGAAGTAAAATTTTGATATATATAAATCTCGATGCAATTAAAATTTGAAAAATTAGAGATTTATTTTCAGAAAAGTAAATGAATTTTATGCAATGTGTTCTTTGCATATCTCAAAAATTAATTATGAGAAAAACGTGATTTGTAAATATCTGAATTATTTTACATGTTAATTCAAAGAATATTTTAGGCCATCAGAATGTTTTTACCTTTTCACAAAAGACTATATATATATATATATATATATATACTTAATTTTAGCTTGTTGTCAAAAGTAAAAATAATAATGGTAGAAATAGAATCATTCAATTTGTGTTTCAAAATTTCTAAATCACATACATAAATTAATAAATTAATAATTTTAAATCATATTAAATGTTGCTTATCCTAGGTGATGCAAGGATAATGTAGAGGTAACTAGGTACCTGGGTAGAGAGAGAGAGAGAGAGAGAGATAATGCTCCAAGTAGGTGGGGGTTGACGTGGAGCCCAAGGCCATGCCATGCCATGCCATCGAGAAAGAAAGAAGGGCGGTGGAGGACGAGGAGGACGAGCTGGAGCGGTGGGAAAAGCAACGGAGACGCGGATACAGGGCCCCCCACGGTTATGAAGCCCCCTACCCCTTCCACCCGGTTGGGGAATGAATTAGGGTTTAGCGCCCCTCTTCTCTCCGTCCACCTCCTCTTACGGTGCCTACCTCACTGCTCCGACCCCTCTCGTGTCCACTCTCTTTCTCTCTATTTTTGCTCTTTTCTCTCCCTCCCTTTCCTCGGAGATCAGGCTACCGCCGCTTCTCCTCCTCCTCCTCTGTTCCTCGCCCTTTTCCCTCTCCCGGCGCTCCTCGACACCATGGTGCGTTAGTGCTCCTCGCTTCCTTGCTGCCACAGCTTTCCTTTTCACTTTGGGTCTTTCCATGTTTCGAGGTCCCCCCCCCCTGGTTTATTATTGAGCTTCTAGTTTTGTGCCGCTCGCCCTACAGAGGGATCCTCTGCAGTCCTTGAGGACGCCGATTGACACTTCCATCTTTCTTCTCCGTTTTGGCAGCGGCTGCTTAATTGAGTGGACCTTCTGTCTAGTATGCTGTAGTCAATAGCATGGGACGACTCTTTTGGGGTATACTTTTGTAAGAGCTAGTCTGAAATGATAGATTTTAGGGTGATGTTGCTAATGAGAAATGCGGTTACATTCCTTTGAGAGGCATGATGTGTTGAACGGTCTATGGTTGATTGAACGGTCTATGATGATTGAACGGTCTATGGTTGATTTGAATACAGGTGCTCTCCAACGATATCGACTTGTTGCACCCTCCAGCGGAATTGGAGAAGACCAAGCATAAGCTGAAGAGGCTTGTGCAGTCTCCCAATTCTTTTTTCATGGTAACGATGTCTTATTCAGAAAACAGAACCTGGGAGTCCGAAAGTCTTAAACTTTTGTAGTAGACATTGGCTTGAATCATTGAAGTCAAATCACTCTTGTGAGGCCTTATCGCTTGCCTAGCCGATAGGAACCGCCTTAAGTTCTCGTAATTGTTATCAGGTTTGATGAAGATATCTACCTGTATTTTATGTACAGCATAGAGTGAAGGCAGGTAGATTGATAAAGAAGATTAGATTTCTGGACCTAAAAATCATCAATCGTAGGCACTCTCTTTTCTGGTGGGATTTCCATCCGCTAATGTTACAATAATTCCTGAATTATTAAGCACTTGTTGTCTGCTACTCACATTACTTGATTGTGTTGTACTTCGGATCAGGACGTCAAGTGTCAGGGATGCTTCAGCATGTAAGTTCTCCACCTTGCTGGTCCCGAAGTTGCCACTCGTTGTGTTGTACAATTATTGTTCTGTTTCAGACTGCGACTATTACATTGCCTAAATTTGGAATTGATTAGAAATCTGTTACTAAGTCCGCTATATTTGAATTTGCAGTACGACCGTCTTTAGCCACTCCCAGACTGTTGTCTTGTGCGGTAGCTGCTCTACGGTTCTCTGCCAGCCCACTGGTGGGAGGGCTCGCCTAACCGAAGGCTGCTCCTTCAGGAAGAAAGGAGAGTAAAATTCTAGATATGAAGGTAGAGTTTAGGGGTATCAATTAACAGATTTTGCTAGACTCTGGGCAATTAGAGAGGTTGTCCGAGCTACTGAAGGCAAGTGTTCAATGACAAGTTATTTTGGATCCCATACCAGACTATTCACGTGTGCTTCAGTGTACTCCAACCACCATCCGTGCTCCTGGTGAAACTAGGTCACTCGATGCAGACTGAAGGTAAACCCTGCATGTCCATTCGATCATGTATTAAATTTGAGTGGGTTGAGTTGCTCTGTGTCGCGTCAGACATTTCACTGAAACTGTCATTGGAAGTGAAATTGGGTTGTTATATGAGGCAGTTGAGTTGCTGGTCTTTCTTAGTGTAGCTCGATGCTCTCGCAACCTTGTTTTTGTGCAACTGCTGCTATTCTATACGTTGGTAACGTCGTTGTTATCCGCACTGGAAGTATCGTTCTTTTTTCTTTTTTTCTTTTTGACACAAAAACGGGGTGTACCTGATGCATTAACGGAGGTGAAAAAGTACAGTTAACTACCTAACTCCATGTGCCTGAATTGAAGCCAAGAGTACTAGAACAAGGCGCAACTTCTAAAGCAAGTTTAGTTACAATTTTGTGTATGATCACCACATTGAGTTCTATTTAATTATTCTGTCGTTTCTTGAATTAAGTACTTGTATTAAGTACGTGTTTAGCCATCCAGAAGTTGTCCCATTTCTTGAACAGGGATGATTTATGATGTAGGTGTTTTGCTACTTCCTTAACAAATTTCCAACAAATTTGTTTATATTCAGAAAGACCTTTTTAGTATGGGGAATACTCCATACTTCATTTTTAGAGATAAACTTGTTTCTCTGAATCTAATTAGTCCATAAACAAAGTCCCCTAATCAAGAATCAGATTTTACAAGAGCATTTGAATCCAGAGAGGAGTTTTTGCATAAATAGCTTGTTGCAGTGTGAAGCTAAATAGTGGAAATGATCAATTAATCACATATTTAATTCGTTTACAAGGTTGCATTTACTGGACGTGAATGACTTTGAGCTTGTCTTTGATGCGTTCTCTGTAACGTGAGTACCTTACCAACCCTTGTATACCACCTACATCGATGAAGATATTAAACATTATAAGAGGACATAGAATGAAAGGTAAAATTTGATTGAGCATGTTCTTTGATGTAGGTTACCTGGACATGTATGATATGTACGATGGGAAGAGAGAATTCTACATACGTATAATTGATTTTGGAACTTTAAGAGTTTATTTTGTAATGTTGACAATAAAAGTGCATTTAGATAAGTTTCTTAAAATGATAAAGATAACTATTAACACAAAAACTGATATTTATGTGATAACGTCTACTGATTAGCATTGTTTATTTGATATTTTGATTGCCAATTTTAATAGATGTTTTTTGATGCATTTTGTCACCCTCATTATTTAAACTTATTTCAATTGTTTTATTCACATTTTGAGTTTGGATATTAATATTGCCGGAGAAGGTCTACTGTAAATTATTTTCAACTAAAAATGTTTTTAGATTGACTTAAAGATTGTATTGTAATAATTTTTTTCAACTAACAATGCACTAATATCAACTCTATTATGTTTTTCATTTTGAAAAAAAAAAATTTCTCAATGCAAATCCTAATGGTCCTTTTTTTACTTATATTTTGACTAGTTGAAGATTTTAGTTACTTACAAAGCTAAAATCTAGGTCATTATGTAATCCTCAATTTTTGTACATCTTTGACTTTTTAAGATAATTTCAGAGTCTTATTACTCGACTTGAGAAGTAATGAAGTCTATCTACTTGTGGCATTTAAAGTGATATTAACATAATTTATTGTAATTAGAAGACCTTTTTCCTTTTTTTTTTTTTTTTTTTTTTTTTTCTTTCTTTTTTTTTAAATATGTAAACTGAAACCTACTATTTAAATTTTTTGAAAACAGTTTCTAGTACTCATTGATACTCTATAAAATCAACATCATAATTTTAACATCTTCACTTTCAATGATATTTTTGATTTTCTAACACATTAGTGTATGTTTTGATATCCTAAAAACAATTATTTGGTTTTAATAGCAACAAGTTTCCTCTTTATACAACTAGGCATTCACATATGCAAATCATCTTTCACTTTTATAGATGAACCCCAATACTTTGATTTTTTCCTCCAATCAGTTCTCAAATGCTTTGAACTAATTTAAATTTCCAAAATTGAGAAGAGTCTAGGATGGCCAATCCTGATTATTGTTTCACAAGCGATATAGAACAGGTATCGTAACGAGTCTTTACTCAACACAGCAGGGGTACCAATTGCCAGTTTATCGCACTGAAATCTGCAAGACTGAGGTCTTTATTTATACTTCATAAATGCCTTCAGAGAATTTACTTTAATGCATACGGTGAGGTATAAGGTAAATACTGCTACCACTAATATTCCACACGAAGACGCAAATCTGTTGCTAGTTCATGCAGTTTTACGTTGGACGAGGGTAGTTTGTAAGATTTATAAAGAAATGGAACCTACAGATAATTTTCTAGACAGCTCAGGATTTGTGGCAGAGTTCGACGTGCTACACTGAACACCTGGTATACAGGTATGATAACTCTCTCGTTTAATTCAACTATTATCTGATGTACGGACAATAACAGAAGCACTGGTTCTAGAAAAACTAGAGAGCTAGCGATGATAAACACCCAACATGCCAAAAATTTACCATGTAAAAGAGTAGAGTATCACAACACAGTATATTTTATCTTCCGAGGATTAATCATGATGAAAATTTACTATTATTCTTGTACAGTGATCGGAAGCAAAGATCCGACAAGATTTAATCCTTCCAATCCACAGTAACCTAAAGATCAATAGGAACGTCACTTAGCCAAATTAGTTGAAACCATTATCAACCTGGAGTAGAGCCTACTATTTAAGACTTCCGAAAAATCTTCAAAAGCTCTGAGACAGCTTTACAGATCGGCTTGACCTCGAAGGGTTCTTCTGAGGAGTCTGATACATATTCAGTCCAACAAGACGGAGCCTGAAGCAGATCATGTCACTACATTGTCCAAAATTACGCATCACTAAGGGAGTTTAACATGACATTTGATACGTATAACTCAATCTGAACAGACTCTACATCTACATGTCATCTGTGAAAAAGTTAACAATAACAACAATTGATGTTCAAGACAGACATGAAATACATAAATTTCCAAAAATATCTCGAGAGAAAGTTATTGCAACTGATAAAAATGAGGAGATGAGGAAAACAGTGTGCAGCAACAAGGAGAGTCGCTACTTACTGATTGCATGATCATGTTTCCAAGTAGCCTACAGCACCTGTGGCATCCCTTGTTCTTGTGAAATCCTGCATTCAAGAAACCGTAAGATTAATCTAAAAATCCAGATATAAACCTTTTTGGCATAATTCACAGTAAAGATAAATTTAAATTAAACAAGTAAAAAGCTTAGTGTACTTATGCTCGGATGGATTTGGCATAGCTTCATAAACCGTGTTTGCTATAGCATCTCTTTTCATCTGCAATTTCAACACACCGAATCGGTCAATCGTCAAAGAAAACAACTCTCAATTTTCCTCAAGTGAACAATTGAAAACAAGGCGACTGCTGCAAAAGACAAAAATGTCAAATGAACTACGGAAGGACAAACAAAACCCTCGAAAAACCATCTATACATAAAAGTTTCCAGCTTTTCATCAAATATATCACACTTAGTAATCAATCAGTTTCGATTGATTGATGTGGTGTTACTCAAATACTTATTTACAAAAATAAAAAAATGATCCAAAATCTCAACACCTAGTCAAGCATTGACAGTTCACGTTTGTACTTCAAGATTATGGCCACAAACTGCTCACTTGTGTAGCTTCTCCACGTAATCCAATATAATGCACATGCGTCGCATCGGCCCCAAAGTTTGACGGAAAGTGGAGCGTAAGGCTTGCAACTCCTTGAAACTTGGCATACCTATCCAACTCATTAAGCTAGTGAAATAGCAAACGTTGCGTATGGAACTGAATTTCACTAAATATCAGTGAAGACGTCTTAACAGTAACGTAGTTTCAATCCGGACACAAACAGCACGGGCCGATGGGAATGTCGAATACATGATATTGTCTTTATCCCACAGTTCATTAAACAATAAATTATTCCATGGTGTGTGATCAAACAGAACTACACGCAAATATGCTGTTCTCGACCAAACTCGAGCAATTCAAGAACCAATTCAAACGTAGAAATTACTTGGCTTACTTGGTTGGATATTCAAGTTCCCCTCTTATATTTTCAGCCAGTTCCCATTCTTGAACAGGTGTTAAGTCATTCGCTTGTGAGAAATCAATATCATCTCTATTCAAAAAGCTGCAAGTACGACCAAAAAGTGCAAACTCAATAGGACACAAGACCTAACTGGAGAAAATCATAGCTCAGCGATATCATATGCATGAAACCAGAAAGGTAAGAACAATTTATTACATATAATGTAGATTTGAGAGTAGGACATGATAATACAAAGCTGCTCATAGAGAGAAGTCGGTCCAGACCAGAGAATACTTACGCTCGCATCTTTGAAGGACTGTGACCATCAACACCGCCAACGACACATATGCTCTTGATTTTCACATCCGTGGTAAACCTGACAGGGGCAACCTACACAGAATTAGAAAAGTGGAGTTAGGGGTACACAACACGCCGATACAATCCAAATTTTTGCATCACATTAAATAAAAATGCTATCTTACGGTATAAAAACAATAAGCTCAGCATCATCGTCATTGCTAGCCAATACGGTTGATAAATCTGAACGCTGCTCCCAAGGTTTAAAAACACTTTTTGCACTTCCTTCCACTGTTTCGTTCAAAGCTGTAACCTGTGGTTACAGAAAACACGATGTGAAAGATCTAAAAAGAAATGCTGCAACAGTTTCATGAAATTATCGATGCTGTACTAATATGCATAGTTTCTCAAAAATGATACAAGACCTCAGGTGCAGAGCTGCTCAGAAAAAACAACGATGTACATTTAAACTCTAAACTGCTATCCGCAGGAAACTGCAATCCACAAACGAAGACACTACATGATTGCCATATGATCGTTGGCAGCATGCATAACACTCTTGGCACAATGATTGATATATTTGAATCTCCTCTTGCAATGGGCAACGACGCAAAACATGCCACATCCAACTAGTGGTGGAAACAGCGAGATTACCCCAGTAATGTCAATGTTCTTGTACAGAGACCAATCGCCGGCACACTCATATTCCTCGCAATCGTGCTGATGAAGGCAGGATCCCATGATTCGAAAAGGAGATGAACTTGTGTGAACGGAGTGTAGAACAGAGATGAAATCTGTAATCAACAGAAAGGAAAGTGAATAATGTATACCCTAAAATCTAAACTCCTGTCAAATTTCAGAGAGACCTCCGAGCGATCCAACATGTCTTAGCACTGATTGCTTTAATGGCACCTGTGCAATGACGGCACGCCAATTACGACAGCAACCCAGTGTATCAGATTTTTCGTCTGAAAACATCATTCTACTTCTGCTTCGACCATGCGTCAACAAGATGCTAAAAAATTATCAACTGAAAGAATAAAGGCTACGAAGGTTATGAATGCCTTGTAGTGCTTTTGTGCTCGGATTGAAGCAATATGCCGCAACAAGCCCTCTAAACTCGTTCAACGAGATAATTGAAATAAAAATCCTAACAAATCCGCATGCCTACAACAGTCATTATCATCGAGAGTGCATTCCTCGCTCTGTAACGAGTGCAGATAGAGTACGAAAAAATAAGTGATAGCGCAACCCTAACTCTCGTAACAAAGTTCTTAACCACACGATGTTAATGGAGAAGTTCAATCTTTAACAACGCACTACTCAGAACCCTGATTGCCGCGTATTGGGAAAATCCATAAACAATAGTTCCGTAAAACCCGTGTCGAAATCGCGGACAGGAAAATAAGTCGTCTTCACAAGCATGTTACCACCCAAGACGAAAACTCCACGATCACCTATTATGCTGGGTATTACTACACCATGAGCTTCGCATGGTAAAGACTACAAAGAATTAGAACCCAGCAACTCGTGCAACAGGAGATATGCGGGCAATGCGACGGAGAAGTAGGCAATCACCCTGATGATCCTTAAAACCTGGAAGATAAGCGTGAGAGCAGACCATCAAAGAGGACAAAGAAGGCATACCCGCAACAGGCCCAAGTGGTGCTGAAGTGGGTCAGAGAGTGGGAGAACACAGACAGGAAGTGAGTGAGTGAGAGAGGGGAGGAGGAGCGGAGGAGCAAGGCACGAATAAATAAACAAACAGGGGGCAAGGGGATGGAGTGTAAAGAATGCACAGGGGTATTAACTGAGAGGCAGCAGCAAGAAGGAAACAGCAATGAAAGGCTTCAACAAAGGAAGGAAGGAAGAAAGAAAGAAAGGCCAGGAAGGAAGAAAGAAAGAAAGGCCAGGAAGGAAGGGAGAAAGAAAGGCCAGGAAGGAAGAAAGAAAGAAAGGCCAGGAAGGAAGGGAGAAAGAAAGGCCAGGAAGGAAGGGAGAAAGAAAGGCCAGGAAGGAAGGGAGAAAGAAAGGCCAGGAAGGAAGGAAGAAAGAAAGGAAGAAAGAAAGGCCAGAAAGGAAGGAAGAAAGAAAGGCCAGAAAGGAAGGAAGAAAGAAAGGCCAGAAAGGAAGGAAGAAAGAAAGGCCAGAAAGGAAGGAAGAAAGGAATGAAGAAAGAAAGGCCAGAAAGGAAGGAAGGAAGGAAGGAAGAAAGGCCAGGAAGGAAGGCTAGGAGACGCGGGGAGCTCCCGTCACCCGTCCCTTCCTTTACCCCCAACACACCCAGCCAGATACAGCAGCGCCAAAGCGAGCGAGCCACGAGGATACTCGCACATTCCTCATCACCCTTCCTTCCTTTCTTTCATCCATCATCCAACCCTCGTCTGCCCGCCCGTCCGTATGGTCATCCACACGTCCATCTGTCAGCCAGATTCATTCCTTGCACGACACCTCACCTTGTCTGCCATGAGTAGAGATGATGGCGCCAGTGCTGCCATCCCGCCACGTGGAGATGTACTCACGCAAAGATCCTGCCCGAGCTGTCCGTTCTGCCCGGTTCCTCTGGCTCTGTCCCCCTCCCGCTTACCCCGACGCTGTTACCGCTCCCTATCCTCGTCACGACTGGCACGTGTTGGAAAAGCTATTCCCACACATGAGTAAGGCTATCCATATTTTCATCCATCCACCCATCCATCCAGTCGTGTGAGCATTTATTCTTTCACTTCTTCACTGAGTTTTTCTTTTTGTGGATAATTATTTTCATCATGCCCTATGCTCCAATTTATCCATTCCTTTCTTCATCATTGCATGGTTTCAATCAACTTTTAAAAATTTGATGTTTCAAGTTCTGTTTATTTCTTCTAATTAAAAATAAAAGCTCATCATATATTTATTTATTTATTTCTTTTATTCCCTAAAATGCTACACACTTCCTGATTTTTGTATATTCCTGATTTTTGTATACAACACACAAATGAAAATCATATATATATATATATATTTACATATACATATTTTTACAATCACTATAAAATTCTGTAAATGATGACTTTGCATAATACATTCTATTTTCAATTTAATACATAAGAGGTGAAATATGTTTGATATATCTTAAAGGGGGTTTTTTTTTTTTTTTTTTTTTTTGTTAATATAAAGTTCTGATTTATATATTGACTAACTACTAGACATTATAGCTACCAACTGATAGCATACAATAATCTTCAAATTTTACATTTAAATTTTTTTTACCTCATTTAGTTTATATATAATTTGGTTATCTGAATCAATATGCATGCAAAATATGAAACTACATGTTCATGGAATTTTAGAAATTATTTATATTAATTTGTTGTCATGTAATACAAAATATGCTACAACATTTAATGATTATGTTGTATTTTTGAATAAGTTTATAATTTATCTAATCTACTTCACATACTTTTACAAAAGCTTTAGAAAATAACTATCTAATTTTTAAAGTAACACTTTTTTAACATATATAAAAGGATAAATTGATAATAAAATAATAAAAATTTCTTCTATTTTTTTTGAATTTGAATTAGAAGATATTTTAAAAATAATATTATATGAATTGCTTCAAATTAAATTCAAAAATAATTTTAGCTACAAATATTACTTATTTTTAGTTTTTCTTATCTTGGATCAAAAAAAGAACATATAACTTTTGATCAACAACAAACTATTCTTTTGAAGCCAAAGCAATTTCATCTTTAAGTTATAAAATCAACATTGACTATTAATTCAACATTTCTTAAGCAAGTTCAATCAAACATATCTTCAAATCATCTTATTCATGGTCTTAGAAATAATTCTTCTAAATCTCATAATACTACTTAGTTTGAATTCAAGAACAATCTTCTCAAATTTTAAAGATGCTTATATATTCCTAAAGGTGAAGCAAAACTATGTCTTTTTCAAGCTTATTACAATCATATGATGTTTATTTAAGATCAAAAATTCTTTGACATTGGTTTTTTAGACTTTCCAATTACTAATACAATTACATTTTTTTTTTTTTTTTTTTTTTTTTTAAAATATATTTTATTATGGATCTTTCAATCTCGAGTTCATATGATTCTATATAGTAGATTGTTTCACCAAGATGGTATATTTTGTATTATGTACAAAAACTATCATAAATAAATCAACAACTAAATTTTTTCTTAATAATATTTATTGCTACCATAGATTATTGAGGATTATTATAACAAATAGAAAGATTCAATTTTTATGAAGATTTTGAAAAACATTTTTGAAGATATTAAATGTGGATATAATATTATTTTTAGTTTTCTATTCTCAAACTAATAAACAAACAAAATAGATGAAACAAGACTAGTCTATTTCAAAAATCCAAAACCCTTCTAATCCACGGCAACATAAAGCCTTATCACAAAGTAGTACAAAATAGACTAGAACAAAATTGAATAGCACTAAACAGAATAGAACATGAAAGACAAAATTGAATAAATGGAAATAAAAAAAAATAAAACTAAACAAGACATAATAGAAAGATGCAAAACCAAATTTTACTAAGATAAAGGGTTTGAAGCCATACCTGACCAAATATCCCAAAAGGCCTTGGCCAGTCCTATTTATACTTTGTTCTACCACCATGGACTTTTTGGAATGTTCTTAGATAGTAGGCCTTACTTAAATAACAGTCTTAAATTCTTTTTAGAAGATTTTTTAGTCAATCCTATCTAGGTAATTATCCTAAGCTATTTTTAGAAAATTCTACAATGGATCCTATATAGTCTACTAACCTAGCTCTAATTCTAGAAACTTCCATAACTTCTCAAACCTAGTTCTAACTATCTATTCCTATGTGACAACAATACAATTATTTTATTTATACCTTATTATAATTAATTCTCATCCACTAATGCAAAACATCCTCATTTTGCTCCCAATGGTATCTTCAAATTATTTCTTAGTTATATGTGAGGTTTTGTGCTAGTTTCTATGTTGCATCATAGATGAAATAACCTTTCTAAAGAACTTTGTATTGAAGTTGTGGACATCCATTGCTATGGCGAAGATAGCAATATTCCAAAATATTGTCCACTTCATATTTTTGTTGATCATCAACTGCAACTAGTGGTGGTGGAGGTTGGTACTGATCATGAAAGCGCTTTGGCTTAGTATGAAATTTCTTTAGTTGCAAAATATGAAAGATTGGATGGACCGAAATATGTTGCAGAAGCTTGAGGTAATATGTGATATCAAAAATCACTACAAAAATGTGGAAAGGTCCAAGCCACCAAGGTAGTACTTTATGGATTTGGATTGATGTAGCAAGTGGCAAGTTGGCATTAGAGAATAATACTTAATCATCTTCTTGGAAGATCTTGTGTTATTGGTGATTATCCGCATATTACTTCTGTCAATTTTATGTGATAGGGAGGCAGTGCCGTGTCACTTGTAAGGCTATTGTAAGTTGTTGTATAAACTCTTTTGATATTGGATTGTTGGTATTGATCGGACAATGGAGAGTTGGTATAATCGGATACTAACTAGTATTAAGAAAAAATGGTGAATGACTAGTACTTGCTTGAATACTATCATTATAAGCAAACTCCAAAGATGTCAAGTATTCATCCCAATCATTATGACGAACTACTACAAATATGTATAGCATATTTTTTAAAGTCTAATTTGCATGCTCTATTTGTCCATTTGTTTGGAGATAGAAGATTATAGATATGATAAGTTATATGCCTAGTAGCTTAAATAAGACTCACCAAAAACTTCCTGTGAAGCTTGAATCCTGATTTGAAATGATGACATGAGGTAATCCATGGTGACAAAAGATAGTATCAAAGAAGATTTGTGTAAGTGTTGGAACATCAATATTTTAGTGCATTGTAGCCAAGTGCAGTTGCTTTAAGAATAGATCTACAAAGATGGCAATTGCAATGTGATTATGAAGTGTCTACAAAAAATACATAATGAGATCCATAATGACTTGCTCCCAACATGCTATCGGTAGTAGAATTGGTTGTAATAGTCCTGGAGATGCTGCATTACATGCTTTATTACATTGACATGACTTATAAGAGCGTACCAAAGCTCAAACATCTAGATCCAAACTTACATAAAATCATGTCTTTGAGATTTATTCTAGAGTCTTTTCTCACTTTAGATGTCCAAATTGTGGGATGCCATGTTCTTCTTGAAATATGTGTATCTGGAATATAATATTATTAAGTACATAAATTTGCTTCTTGAAATAGAACAAGCCATCACTAAGATTGTAATCTTGATATTGTATATTGTCCAATTTCAATCAATTGCTAATCATCTTGAGATAAGTATCCTAATGCATAGCTTCATTTCATTTTTTTTTTTTGGTTAGGTTTGAAACAACACTAGTAATGGTAGTGACTTCTATCTTGTCTCCTAATTTCACCTTCAAGCATGGTGTCCGCAATAAATTGTCTAGCATAATATGTTGTCGCCCTTGCTTCTACTCAAGTTGGATATCAAAAAGCTACAACTATTCTTTTCAATGATGATATTATGATTTCATATTTTTTAGATGCAAATTGTATAGTAAGGATCAATGATCAATCTGAACAACCACTAGCTTCTCCAATAAATAGTATTTCCATATCTTTGTGGCATGTAGAATCACTAATTGCTCTCGATCATGTACAGAGTAATTACATTTTGTCTTTATGAGCTTATGTGATTCATATGCCATATGTTGAAGGTCCCTACCAAAGTCTTGTTGAAAGACCGTTTTAATAACAAAGTTGGAAGCATCAATGTCAAGTGTATAAAGAAGGTTGAAATTATTCAATTACAATATTGGAGTAATAA